AATACCAGAAGAAGTTCTAGGAAGCATACTGCACAGTCCTCCCGAGATTGTTCCCTGCACAATACCAGAAGAAGTTCTAGGAAGCATACTGCACAGTCCTCCCGAGATTGTTCCCTGCACAATACCAGAAGAAGTTCTAGGAAGAATGCTGCACAGTCCTCCCAAGATTGTTCCCTGCACAATACCAGAAGAAGTTCTAGGAAGAATGCTACACAGTCCTCCCGAGATTGTTCCCTGCACAATACCAGAAGAAGTTCTAGGAAGAATCCTGCACAGTCCTCCCAAGATTGTTCTCTGTACAATACCAGAAGAAGTTCTAGGAAGCATGTTGCACAGTCCTCTCAAGATTGTTCCCTGTACAATACCAGATGAAGTTCTAGGAAGAATGCTGCACAGTCCTCCCAAGATTGTTCCCTGCACAATACCAGAAGAAGTTCTAGGAAGCATACTGCACAGTCCTCCCGAGATTGTTCCCTGCACAATACCAGAAGAAGTTCTAGGAAGCATGTTGCACAGTCCTCCCAAGATTGTTCCCTGCACAATACCAGAAGAAGTTCTAGGAAGAATGCTACACAGTCCTCCCGAGATTGTTCCCTGCACAATACCAGAAGAAGTTCTAGGAAGAATCCTGCACAGTCCTCCCAAGATTGTTCCCTGCACAATACCAGAAGAAGTTCTAGGAAGCATACTGCACAGTCCTTCCAAAATTATTCCCTGTACAGTACCACAAGCAGAGAGTGTTGTATTTCGTTATAGTGTATATTGATATTTACTGAGGTAACAGCTCGAATATTAATCCTGGTTGATGAGAATTTAAGCTGTAAAGTCTTAATTTGGCTGAATTCTGCTAATTATTAATTATTTCATAATGCCGGAAAGAAATGTGTTGAAGTTTGCGATTCATAGATGGCGGCACATTACAGTTACAAAGCTATAAAGACATAGTTTTTAAATCATTTATGTTGTGGCTAAATTGTTTTCAAATAATTTATTTTGTAATGTTATGTATTTTGTATTGTGTCAACATGTAACGTGTATAGTAGATATGAACAACGTGGTTTTTAGTGAAAGAATTTGCATTATAATTCTGTTTATTGACATTTTACTTCTGTGTTTTTTATTGTTTTAATTGTATTGTTTGGTACCTGATGATGACAAAACCTTGTCGAAACGTTGTACATTTGCTGTTATGTTAAACTTATATTAAAGTTTTTCTTCATTACCCATTCAAGCCGTCTCCAACCATTATTGTTTTAATTTGTAGCTGTTAAATTATATCTTTGTTGAAGGCTTTCTTTTTGTATTTCTATTAGCAATTCTGTGTTAAAGGGTTAACTTATTTCAAATTCGATGACGAGGAACCCACTTTGAGACTAATAATGGCTGGAGACGGCTTAAATGAGTAATGA